ATGAATAAAATTTATGAAATCTTATTAAATACCAATAATTTCCCGTCTAAACAAAATTGCATATTTTTAAAATGCAGCCCTAGGATGTTTTTCTAGATATCCCTTGATGAGCAGTGGTCAATTCTAATTAACGCTTCCCTGGCCGGAATTTCGACCGCACAAAAATTCTATGCTGTGCCGATAGTGAACAGCCACGGAACTGCAGCGTAGAAAACAAACATGTTTCTAATTGCTATAAATACTCTGTGTTCTTCCGTCGCGAATTAAGGTAACTTCCATCGCAAACTAATCACTGGTTGATAAGAGGAAATTTGTTGTTTAGAAGATTGTTTCCGTCGATCTTGCCTAGCTATGCCGGATGGGTGACCAGGGTGTTATGTTACAACAACTGAAAGCTTACCGGCCTTCCTGTAACAGCATGCTCGAGTGGCACGCATATCTACTTAGGATTTGTCGAGGAAACATTAGCATCTGTTTTGCATACGTCCTTTTTTGTAGATTTGTCAATACTTGTTGATAAGTTCTACAATTCTTTTTTAAAATAGAAATATATTTGCATTTAATCTTTTTAAATATCCTTAGTTCTTTTCCAATTGTTTCCATAAATTGTGTGTGTACTGTTCTTTTCCCCTTTATATATATTTCATTTTCATTTACTTTAAGGACATATTTGACATTTACCATATCATGTAAAAAGTAAATATAAACCTAATAAATAAATATTTTATATGTGATCATTGTAACATTTTATTTTAAAACTTTAACAACATTAAATCTGGAAATCATACAATTAAAATATTACAGCAATAACTCAATTAACTGATAATAATTATAGTAATAATTATAACTAAATAATAATAATGTTTTTATAATTATTTGTTATTTTAGATAGTAGTGGATGTGTCGGTGTTTTCTAGTTAAATGCAGTATAGAAGCAATTAAACCTATGTATTGACCTATATATTGATTTATTGATAAAGCTTAATTCAAAGAACCTATTAAAAGGTTATTGGCACTTGAACATTCAATCTCTATAAAGATTTCCACTAGGGAACAATTATTCTACTTACAAAACGTGAAAAATGGAAAGGAAATGGAAAAACCTGGGGACACAGTACATCTGTCTTCAAGCTAATACTGAAATTCAAAGCTAATAACATCCAAATTGGCATCCTTAAGTTCATAATATAATTAGTAGTATGTATCCCACCCATCTAGATCAACATGTTTACACCAAAACAGAAAATGAAAGGTAACCTTCTTGTAATTGGTGGTTTTATAGGTCATAGGCCTATAGGCCCTCTGAGTAAACATAAGTGCAATTTGATAATTATATAATATACAATTAATTAATGAATGTGCAATGGGAAAAATATTTTCATGAGTTGAACAACAAGGTGGAGAATGAAAATATTGCACTCATAAACATTCATTATTTGTTTTTTAATACACCTAAATAGATCCTTGTCATTTGATCATCTTCCAACCAAGTGTCCCAGACTGTAAAAGTAAGGCCTGTCGCCTGCTCGGGGAATATATCCCCTGCACGAAACTTAGCCTAGGCTAGAAATCCATCTGCACATTTTGGAAAATAGGGGCCAAATTCTGCACAGAGTTTGCGCAAATTTGAGCTAGTTTTTGATGTATCATCCATGCAATTATAATACTTTACAGTAATACATTGTACACGCTAACAAAATTTCAGCAAGAAGTAGGCTTATACCAACCACTGCCTGACAGTTTATAGGTGACGTGACATCATTTCATGTATTTAACCTTCCAAAAACTCAGTCCAGCATCTTTTTAAACCAATAAAGAGATTGTATTAGGTTGTAGTCATTTCATTTCCTAAACACTGGAAAAAACAAATGGAAAGAAAATGCACGGATGGAGAAAATTTCAACGATGAGTGACGAAGTGGGATGAACAATCAATGTCATGTGATACAAAATCTACCAATCAAATGACAGGAATCTATTTAGGTGTGTTATAATGTCTAATATTTTTCCTTTTAGGTCTATAGTACTATAGTGTATAATGGTATAGAGTACTTTTATTCATGACTTCGGCAGTAGTCATCAATTTTAGTAAATGACCCATCATTTTAAAGCTAATAATGGGGAGAATATGGATAGATAAGTAGTTTTTCTTTTACCATGGGATATCATTCCTCATATAATGCTCAATAGCTTATTTTTCTTTTCATGCTGCAACTTAATTTTATTTCCTTTTTCTGAGTATCTCTCAACAGGCTGAGGTGTTAATTGGTAAATTAGTTGTTTGTTCACACTGACAGGTCTTGTCATCAAGTTCATATACGATCACAGAGGAAACTGCTCTCACATATAGGAAGGGGAACAGTGTTTTTTTCCTTTCTTTTTCTTCCCTTCATGCTTTTTTCTTTTTCTTCACATATCCATTGTCTCCTCTTTTTTGCATTTCTTTCACTTTACTAAATTCAGATGGACCAACTTGCTTATGGAAAGGTAACTTGTAAGGCATGAGAGGGAAGTAAACTTTGTCCTTTCTTTTTTCACTTTTTTTTCCCGAATTAATTGGTCCACAATAATTCCTCGATTTTAGAAGGTCAAGTGATGTCACCAGAAACATGATTCAAAACATTTCTATGAAATCTCACCAGAAATCGTATAGTAAAAACATACATAATTATTTCGCTGTCTTAATAATAATAAAACGATATGTCTTATACTAAGGAGGTAGCTTCTAATGCTACACTACTCAACAGGTACCTATAGGACAGGGTGACTGAACTGAAATCGTTATTGAGAAACGTGCACAATTTAGGTGACATCAGCGTGTGTCAAAGTCCTAGTTGCTATGGTTACTGAGTGTTGACTACCATGCAACATCGCATAGTAGGATTTACAAAGTGGATCTTTATGAGTTGGAAATTAGGCCCCAGCTAAGATATGGTTTGTAGCACATTAGGTGGGCTTCTCATAATTTTACCAAAAGAATATTTTGTAATATTGGGCGTAGGAATTGTTAGTTGAATTTTGTTACTCCAGTGAAATATAGTTTTTTTTAGTTATAATATTTTATGATGTTTCCATATGATTGTTTAACTTCTTTCTGCTTTTGATAACTTGTTACTAAAAGATGTTTTCCATTTTTGCTGTAACTAACATGTTTATAATTTTAATTATAGTTTTATCTTATTTGTTTACCATTGTTTATTGAATTAATTTTAAATAGGCCAACTTACTAGGCTATTATTTCACATTCATAAAAAACATACATGTTGGGGGGGGGGGGGTGGAAGACTAAAGCCTGTTTAAGTACAGAACATCAATCTTGTGGAATAATCTTCCTGTACATATTCGCACAAATTTTAAGTTGCTTAGTCTAATTGAATTTAAAAATCTTTTATAATTTCTATTGTACATAGTTTTTACTTTAAATTTTTACCTTTCTTTTATTTTCTTGTAATGTTCCTATAAATCTGGACCTCTTGGGAGACCAGTACTTTATTGTATTGAAAGAGCCATTCAGAATAAAGAAAGATTTGTATTGTATTGTATTGTATCAACCCTCTAAATCTACTTTCTGATGATGATATAATTAATGTCGAAATATTGAATCCCGACAATGGCATGCATTTCAATACTTGGAGTATGCATTATACTATCTTATCTGAGATTAATCAGTGGTCCTTTCGGTCTAAATCCACTCTTATGAATGAATAGACCTGCCTGCTAACAGAATACTTTTTCATACAAATATCTCTGTGGAAATGTTTTAATGGCATTGTTCATGAATGTAAAGAAAACTCACACCAGACTACAACGTACAATTTGCATGTTTTGTTGTTTAGATGAGAATTCCTTTGGGAATTGCACAGGCACCATGGACATAGATCCCTCAATCTCTAAATCCATCCTTCAATTCTATATCGTCATTAAAAGCTATTATGATGATAGCTATTTCGATACGGAACACAGTGAACGTCATATTTCTCTCAGTATAATAAGCATTAAAGTGCCAGTTCCATGTGTTTCCTTAGTGAATTCAGATTTAGTGCATTTTCAGCCTTATATGGTAAACATCCTGAATTCTCTATTTTCATTGGCTAGTAAAGTACTGTATATAAAGACACATCCACTGGCAATTAGAATAGATGACATACGATTATGACATAAGTGCTTTAAACGTCACTTTAATTCATATGATAGATTAATTACGAGTTTCGGTTGCCAGGTTTCCCAGATCGTTAGTCCATTTGATTAGCTTATTTGTAGTCAGTGAATATTTTGCATTAAATTAGTCCTAATAATATGATACTATTGGTTGTAGCGGTAATAATAATGTAGGTGAAAGTGAAAAATCTATTCTACATGTTTTAACATATTAATTCTATACTCATTACAAGGTAATAATTATGCTTATATAGTGCATGCTTTATGGTTTCTATGCATAAGAATTTAAAATTTATCATTTTGATAATATCATATTTTACTTGTTTCAAATTATAAATTTAGAAAATGAACTATAATTAAAAATTTATTTGTTTTCACTATGGAAAATATTGGTTATATATTCATTAACAGTCTATTTTAAAATGCTGGTAGAGTACCAGTAAAACATTTTGTAAGTAAACCTACTTTTTAAGACATCTTTTCTCTTCTTATTTAGTATGATCTTTCATGGATTTATCTGTTTTTTAAGAACTTCTTTTTCAGTGCACGTTCGTCCACATTCTCTCTTAGTACTCTAAACCTGACCTGTCTATGGTTAGACTGAATTTCCTTTTTGAACCAATCCTTTTGGATAAACCAAACCACCCTTTCCCTTGCATCAAAAACCATCATTAGTTATCATTTGTATGAGAAAATGGTTTTGTTCCTTCACACCACCAGAGCTCCTTTTCTGTATTCCACCACAGTGCAGCTAGGTTCCCTGGCCTGAATATACCTCGGGCTCTGACAAGAAGTTCCTCCTAAGAAATGCTGGTTACGGGTCTGTTAAACCAGTCCTTTCCGTATGATTTCAGATCATCTCTCAACCTCTGCTTTTGTCTACTTCTTTTTTTTGTCCATCTGTGTCCACTTCCATCTGTTGTCTCTTTCAATAACATTTCCTTCACATTTCCACTTCTTCAGTCATCGCATCTCAAACACCTGTCATTCTTCTGATGGTTCACTTGAGAACAATCTTCACAAAGTATACAATAACAGGAAAAGTAGCATTGACAAAACCAGAACAGTAATCAAAAGCCCAACATGTAATGTGCGTGTGCCGCTATGACTGACACCTAAAAGTTGTTTGTGGAAAAATCTGAAAAATACTAACAAAATGAATAAAAACATTTAAAAGCTCATACACAATGGTGTGCATTTTGATACTTGGAATATCATATATATTTTGTAATGTTATTTATTATAATTTTGTTTTGTGGAATCCATCCCTTAACAATAGTAATAATGGTTCGTTGAAGGAATAAGCACAATTTTGTTCTAAATGTAAAGGCAACACTGTCCTCTATTGACATACTTATACTTAGTTGGCTATGTTGAAAACTGAGGGCTCACTACCTAATGTTCTATTCATTCAGATTACTGAATAGATGTCTTATTATTTTTATCATTGCCATTCGTCATTTGTCATGTCATTTTTCAAATTTATATGTTCTTCAGTTAATTTTGTTATATTTTAATGAAAGATTCATTTTTCAGAGCTTTTAATTCAACAAAGTTGATTGTCATGATTTTTCTGAGAAAATGAAAAGACAGGATAATTAACTGCAGGTTTTGAGACTTAATTTGCACAAAAAATGTCAGATGTTGATAGAGATACAATCTATTTTGTATTGAAATTATTTGGAGGATTTTCGTATTGGCTAAAAATACAAATTAAATGGATTAATATAATTCTTTTGGCTTTGCTTTGGGAATCGATACAATTAAGACTAAACATTTGCGGTGTATCATGTGCGACAGTCTTCAAAATAATGATACGCTGTATCGGAAATTTCGTTTTCGCATGCTATATAGCGTTGCTCTTTGAGTTTAAAATTTGTTACAAGGATGTTTTGACTGTTCTATTTGATGATGACAACCACATTGGCATCGATTAATAAAAAATCTAGTTAAGTATATAGTAATAATGAGTTTTAGGACATTTTGAGGCAACTAAAGAAGTGCATTGCCAAATGTCAGCCACAATGCCATATTGTATTTTTTGTTCCATTTTAACTGTTTATTCTGAATGATCTACCTAGGAATTATTTTCCCTGATGACTCTGTTTTTTTATGTGTATTTAGATTGCCACAGCTAAATGTTGCCTCTTGTTTGCGTATCTTTCTTACTTGAATGTCTATGGTTTTATTTTGATTGTATTGGATTAAGAACTGGATAGATTTTGATTTGATTTGATTTGATTTATTGGGTGTAAGCACCAAGGATAGCCCACGAAAGTCTAGAAGAAGACTTATTTCCAGTGGGGTCCTTCTGGTGGTGATTGGGCAGTACACCGGTAGACAATCCCCTACTCTTTTCCGAAGAGTGTACTGCGTTCTTTAACGTGCACATGGGCCATAATGCACGCGCTATTGTAACTTGTATTTCAGCCCTCTAGCTGAAACACAAGAAGAGGCAGCGATGGGAATTGAACCAGCCGACTGAGCTAAGCTGCTCTCTATATTTGAATTCTATGAAAATAAGCCTGTGATGTAGCGGATTGTCACAGTGTTGCCTACTCACTATAATATTTCACTGTCTAGAACTTCCATAACCGTACTTGTCTATGTATTATGTTCAAGAAATTACTTGAGTAATGTTATTATTGTTTATTGATTTTGAAAAAATTAATAAATAAATAAAAAACTATCTATATTGACAATCGGTGTCCAACATTGCTTATTTATGGTGCGTTGTATATGGTTATCAAGATCTTTTAATTTTAGATTATGGTTACCGAGATCGCTTTATAGTAGGGAGAACTCTGTTACAAGCATTACATGTATAGTGCAAACTTAAGAGATTGAATGGCTATGAAAGTAAGTCAGTTTATCTCAAGAACTGTTCAAACGTATTCAACCAGGATCTATTCTATTTGAAAGTGGTTCAGTATTAGTGATTTTGTATAGTAAAACATTGCTGATAATTTTTAGACAATGTATTTTTTAAGATTTTCTAAGATATTTGTGATGACATACTTCTTTTTTTTTTGTAAATCTGCACGTTGTTGCCCAGCTTGAACAATTATATAAAAAATAATACAGTATTCAAATCAACTGATGTATATTAGTAATTTTTTAGTTTTAATATTTTCATTCTTTGATAATTTTGAGATAATGTTTAGTATTTTTATACAGTATTAGATAAACATAAAACTTAAATTTTGCTTACTTTTTCTATTGATTACTAATAAATCAGCTTTATTTCTATTGACTTCTGCTCTAACTTTAAAAATAACTTATTGAACTTTATGAATTTACCACACTACTTTAGTTTATATTTTAGGAATTGAAACTTTATAGAGGGCTCACTTTAGTATTTTAGAGTTATCAAGAAACTGTATATTGTACATGTAAGTTTTGCTGGTGAAATTAAAGGGAGCCCTCATCTTCAGAAAGATATGGAATGGTATAAAATTATTTCAATGCATTGTCGTGATTGGCTATCTTGTCACTCACAGTTGCTATTAAGAATATGTGCCATTAAGCATCCCATGGAAAGTTATTTTTAACTATTATTAATATTAGTGTCAGGTTTAAAATGCTTTAATAAAGAAAACAAATTGTGTACGTAAATACACATACCAGGGGTGCACCACAAATCAAAATATTGCAACTTAATCTAGAACCTAAACAAATGTAGAATAAAGCGCAAACAATTTTTTTTCATTTATTTCATCTTTAAGGTACAAAGAAAAAATTCTTATCCAAATACAAGAGCCAAAACAAATGAGGGATCATTAACAAAAAACCAAAACAAATCAAATCACTTTGTTATTTTTATTAGTTATTATAAAGAGTATGTTCATGTTGAGCTAATGAATTTTAACAATACAATTATGGTATAGCTTTCAATTGATAATAAAGAATAAGAAATAATTTCTTTGGAGATTCACACCAAAAATACTCCTCTCCTATCCTTTGTCAAATTAAATGGTGATAGAAAATGCCAAGAAGTAAAATTGGAATAAAAACTGAGGTTCATACATTTAAAAAAGGTCTATTTTAAATTGGTTATTAGGAGTTAGCATTCATAGGCAATATATATATATATATATATATATATATTGTGTAAAAAATGATGATCCAATTCAGCTTTAATGAAGCGTAGGGATATCTTCTCATACTTCCTAAGCAAACAAATTGGCAGGTCTTCCGAACTAAAATCCTTA